GACTGCTATTACCATTGGTGTTGATTTTTTTCATATATGTGACCTTAATTATATTGAAGAATATGCCTTTTATTATTATTTTGTTGAACATTTTTATCAGGAAATGTTGCTGGATTTTACCAAATGCCTTTTTGGCATCAATTGATATGATCATGTGTTTTCTATTTTCATTTGATTCATTTATGTAGCACATGGATTGTTTTTCAGATTTTAAACCATTCTTGGTATGAATCCTACTTGATTGTTGTGTGTAGGCTTTTGAAATGATATTGAAATTTATGGACTAGCAATGTTTAGAATTTTTTTTTAATCTATGTTCATGAGTGTTATTGTTATTCAAGTTTCTTTTTGTTTGATGTCTTTTCTTGACTTTGGGACTAAGGTATGCTTCCTTAATGGAAAGAGTTCTAGCCTTACTGTATTCTGGAATACTTTGACTAGTACTGGGTTTAGCTATTCTTTGATTCTTCAGCAAAATTCACCTGTGAAACTTTCTAGGCCAGGACTTTTTTGGTTGAGAGTTTTAAAATTACTTTTTCAATTTTTTTTGTGATGGATCTGTTCATATTTTTTAAAAAATGCATTTTATTTTATTATTTTTGTGTGTGTGTACCGTCAAATCAGATCTGACTGGTACAGGAGGAGATTGCCCCTCCTTTCCCGCAGAGCATCTGGTGGATTTGAACCATGCACCTCTGGGATTGTAGTTGCAGCTTCTTGCCACTAGGCCACCAGAGCTCCCCTGGATCTGTTCATATTTTTTTAACCACAGTTTATATTAGTTTAAGTAGGTAGTGTGTTTCTAAAAATGTGTCCATTTCTTCTAAGCATTCTAATTTGCTGACATATATGTCTTCATAGTATTATTCTATTATTGTCCTACTTCAGTTAGTTTTATTGTGATATCACAAATTTTTTCTTGTTAGTGTTATTTGCATCTTTTCTTTTTTTACATTTGCCAGCTGGTTTGACAACTTAATGAATATATACTTTTTATTTGATTATATCTATTGTTTTTCTATTTAATTTATTTCTACTTTAATCTTTTATTTCTTGCTTTAAAAATTTTTTTGAGAGGTTGCATGTAGGTATTAATCTTTAGTCTGTCTTATATAATGTGAAAGCAGGAGTGGCATCCACTTCCTAAACAACATACCTCTAGAAACTCTATGAACTTTGAGAAACAACGATAGTTATAGAAAGACTTCAGGTCTTTTGTTCACAGGATCACTATGAATCATGCTTCACTTGATGACAAACAAAAACAGCAAGCTCTGGTGGCCTAGTAGGTAAGGAAAAGGCAAGACGTTTGAATCCACAAGGTTCTCCACAGTAGAAAGATGGACAATCTCCTGTGTGATTTACAGCCTGCTAAAACCTGCTGAAGGGGCAGCTATAGGTTAATTCCAGCTCAATGGTACATAACAACAACATGATCTGAGAATATGCTTCAAAGTATTTTAACATATTTTAAAGTATTGAGTCTTGCTTTGTGACCTAATATATGATCTATTATGGAAAATGCTCATTATGGGGTCAAAATCAATATGTTGTTGTTATGTGCTGTTGAGTCGTTTGCGACTCACAGCGACCCTATGCACAACAGCCCTAAACCCTGCTCTATCCTGCGCCAACCGCACTGCCTCTGACACACCCATCCCGATTACCCCAGTCACCGAATCAATCCATCTCATAGAGGGTCTTCCCCTCCTGCGCTATCCCTCCACCCTCCCAAGCATGATGTCCCTCTCCAAGGACCTGTCCTTCCTGGCAACATGTCCAAAGTATGTCAGACGAAGCCCCAGAATCCTTGCCTCCAAGGAGTAGCTTGGTTTAATCCTCTCCAAGATGAATCTGTTTGTTTTCCTGACAGTCCATTGTACATTCAGTACTCTTCTCCAGCACCACAGCTCAAAAGCATCCACTCTCCTTCTGTCCTCCCTAGTCATTGCCCAACTCTTTGATGCATAACAAGCGATTGCAAAGACCATGGCCTGTATCAGGCGCACCTTAGTCTCCAGAGAGACACCGTTGCTCCTGAGCACTTTAGAGAGGTCCCTAACAGCAGACTTTCCCATCGCGATACGCTTTTTGATTTCCTGACTGCTGGTGCCAAGAGTGTTGACTGTGGAGCCGAGCAAACTGAAGCTGTGAACACTCTCAATCTCTTCGTCATCCATCCTGATGCTGCCAATTGGTCCAGTAGTGAGAATTGTCTTCTTGACATTGAGCCTCAGTCCATACTGAAGGCTGCAGTCCTTGACCCTCCACAGCAAGTGCATGAGGTCCTCCTCAGTTTCAGCAAGCAGGGTTGTGTCATCTGCATAACGCAGATTGTTAATAGATCTTCCACCAACCCTGATGCCACAATTCTCCTCATAGAGCCCAGCCTCTCAGATAATCTGCTCTGCATACATGTTATTATTGAATGGAGGATGGTGGTGCAGAAATGACTACCTTCCAATGTCAATCCCTGTTCTAGACTAGATAGAGCCCGAGCAAGGGGAGGTGGTGTAGAAATGGCCAGGATATTTGGAAGACAGTTGTCTGGCCAACTAACTGGAAAAGATCCATATATGTTCCCATTTCCAAGAAAAGTGATCCAATAGAATGTGTAAATTATCGATCAAAATACTTAATATCACATGCAAGCAAAATATTGCTGAAGACCATTAAAAATGGCGAGAACAGTACATTGAGAACGGTCAGACATTCAAGCTGAATTTTGAAGAGGCTGTGACACAGGACTATCATTGCTGATGTCAGGCAGATTGTGACTGGAAGCAGAGAATCCAGAAGAAAGTCTATCTGTGTTTTATTGACTGTGAAAAGACATATGACTGTGTGGATTACATAAACATTTTGGCTAATGTTGGGAAGAATGAAGTATCAGAAAACGTAATTGTGCTCATGTGAAAACTATGCCTAAACTAAGAGATAGTTATGTGAACTTTGCAAGGGAACACTACATGGTTTAAAATTAAGGAGGTGTGCATCATGGTTGTATCCTTTCTCCATACCTATTCAATCTGTATGCTGAGAAACTCATTCAAGAAGCCAAACTCTATGAAGAAGAATCTGGCATCAGGACGAGAGGAAGACTCATAAAAAACTTGCATCATGTAGATGATACAACCTTGCTTGTTGAAAGAGAACAGGACTTGAAGTACTTGTTGCAGAAGATCAAAAACTACAACCTTCAATATGGATTACATATCAATGTCAATAAAACAAAAACTCTCACTGCTGGAACAATAAACAATATCATGTTAGATGGAAAAAAGATTGAAATTGTTAATGACTTCATCTTAATTGGATACACAATCAACATCCTGGGTACCAGCAGTCAGGAGATCAGGAGACATATACCTTTAGAAAAATCTGCTCTCAGGGACCTCTACAAAGTTCTGGAGAACAATGATGCTGGTTGAAAGACCAAGGTGTGTCTGATTTAGGCTTTTCAATCACTTGGTATATATCTGAGAGCTTGACAGTGAATAAAGATGACAAGATGAATTGATTCCTTTGAGCTGTGGTACTGGAGAAGAGTACTGAGTATCTCTAGGACTGCCAAAAAACCAAAGAGATATGTCTAGGAGAAAGTCAGCCAAAGTGTTCACTGAAGGGAAAGATGACAAAGCTTCATCTCTTATACTTTGGTTATGTTGTTAGGAAAGGCTACTCTTTGGAAAGGGACATCATGCTTGGAAAGGCGGAGGGTTGGTGAAAGAGAGGAAGACCTTCAAACTGATGGAACGACACAATAACTGCAGCAATTGGCTCAAGTAAGTCAGAAATTACAAAGATGGCACAATAGGACAGGATTCAAATATATTGTTCATGGAGGTCACTGTGAATCATACTTAACTTGACGGCACCCAACAACGATTGAGTGGAGTAATTTATATGTCTATGAGGTAAAGCTGCTTAACTGCGTTCTTTAGTACTTTTACATCTTTGTTGAGTTTTTCTGGTTGCTCTGTCCTTCTCTTAAAGTGGTATTCTCACTAATGTTGCTATGTGCCATCTAGTTGGAACTGACTCATAGTTGACTATTCAGTGGGATTTCAGAAGCTGTAAATTACACCAGACAGTTCATCTTTCTCTCTTAGAGTAGCTTGTGGATTTGAACTATGCTCCTTTGTATTGACAGCACAGCTCCTTATCATTAGACCATCAGAGATTCCTACTACTGTTGTAGAGTTACCAGTTTTTCTATCAATTCTGTTAACATTTGATTTATGTATTTTGGAGCTTTTTCTTTATATACATAGATATTAATTATTGTTTTGTCCTGTTGTTTGTTAAACCATTTAATCATTATATCGCTATGAGTCGCAGGCGACTCGACGGCACATAACAACAACAACAACATTGTTGAGTAGCATCAAGTTGGAATCAACCCATAGCTAACCTTCTGGAGCATTTTCAGAGGTAGTTAATTGTGCAGGAGAAGATTGCCCATCCTTCTGCAGAGCAGCTGATGGATTCAAACTGCATGCCTTCAGGATTGCAGCCCAACTTCTTGCCTCTGGACCATTAGTGCTCCCTTAATCATGATATACTTTCCTATATTATCACTTATTCTGTTTTTTTCTTGAAGTTTATTTTATCGAAAAATTAATATTATCATTTTGACTCTTTTGACTTATCCTTGCTTGATGCATCTTTTTTCCTCATCTTTTGATTTTTCACTCTACTTTTTGTCTTTGTGTCTAAAGAGTGTCTCTTGTAGACAACTGGTATGCTTGCCAAGCTACTGTATGTTAGGTGACATTTATATGCATAGTTTTCTTATAGGGGCTTCTCGTGATTTAATGTTAAGGGGTTGTGCTGCCAACTCAAAGGCAGGTGGTTCCTGTCCATAGGAGAAAGATGGGCAATCTCCTCCCGTGGGACTTACTGTCTCTGAAAACCTGCTGGAGAGTCAGCTATGAGTCAACTTCAGCTTAATAGTATATATCAACAATGGATGTTTTCTTATAGGTATCACCATGTGGATGACTCCAGAGCAGAATCAAAGTTGGGTTTCTGAATTTATCCTGCTTGGCTTCTCCAGTGATTCTGCCTCCAACAAGATTCTCTTCTTTGCCTTCCTTCTCCTCTATCTCAGCTCAATCCTGGGCAATGGACTTATTGTCACTCTTATCTGCCTGGACTCTCATCTCCACAATCCCATGTACTTCTTTCTCTGTATCCTCTCCTTATTGGACATGGGCTCTGTCACCACCACTGTACCACAAATGCTGGTACACCTTCTTGCTCATTCTCAGACTATCTCTTTTGCTGGATGTTGGTTGCAGATGTTTGTGTTTGGTGCCCTGGGCCTGTTTGAAGGTATCCTATTTGTAGTTATGGCCTATGACAGATATGTGGCTATTTGCTATCCACTGCATTATACCATTATCCTCAGCTGGGGACTGTGCATACAAATGGCAGCTGGAACATGTGCCTGCGGTTTCTTTTTATCTCTGATTCACACCTTTCTCACCATGAGACTGCCCTACTGTGGGCCCAACATTGTGAACCACTATTTATGTGAAGGTCCCTCAGTACGGAGCTTGGCCTGCATGGATACCCACCTCATTGAATTAGTAGACCTAGTTATCAGTGTGTTTCTAGTTGTCACCCCACTTTCTCTCATTGTGGCCTCTTATATCCGTATTGTACTGGCCATTCTCAAGATCAAGTCTACCAGTGGCCGCTTCAAGGCCTTCTCCACTTGTGCTTCCCACTTGATAGTGGTCATACTCTTCTATGCTCCAGCCACTTATGTCTATCTGAGGCCTAATTCCAGCTACTCCTCTGAATGTGACAAGCAGGTCTCACTCTTTTATAATGTCTTCACTCCTTTGCTCAATCCCATGGTATATAGCCTGAGGAACAAGGACATTAAGGAAGCTTTTTCCAAGGTGTTGAAATGTGGTAATGTAGCCTAGTGAACTGAGAACTATAAGGGGTGGGGTTTGGGGAGGTGCGAGGGGGGGGATTGTGTACCAATGAGGGAGTTTTTCTTTTGCTTTTCAAGGAGAGGAGCAAATGGGGGGGAGGAGGTGGGGTGGGCAGGGAGAAACGTGCAACTACGAATGACTGGAAATCCAAAATCTCTGTAGATGTTCATTGAGATTAATAAAATAAAAAAAGGAAAAAAAGGGATATGTGATTAGCTATTATTGTCATGACGGAAGTCCAGACGAAGACTGCATAGTGAAAGAATTTTTCTTTTACTTTTCAAGGAAAAGAGCGAACTGGGGGGCAGGGGTGGACAGGGAGAAAAATGCAACAATGAATGAATGGAAATCCAAAGTCTCTGTAAATTTTCATTAAAATTAATAATAATAATAAAA